GTCCTTTTTTTTTTCATCTGTAACGTGCCCTCAGTACTGATTACCCTCAAAGTTCACTGCTCATTCCTACAGCAACAAAAAAAAGCCAGCTGAGATGAAGCTATGTTCTAAAAGAACAGGCTGATCTGAATTTTAAATTGATACGTGTGCCAGTGTGCACATATATCTCTATTTTAACTGTAGGCAGATATATCAAAAGTGCCAGAGGATTTTGTCATTTACGTATGAAAATTAATTCATAAATCTTTTTTGTATTTACAGCAGTCCTGACAGAGCTTATCAAAAATGAGTTGCCTTATGGAACTATCAATGGATTAATAAAAAGAATCTGATCTAATATTCATGTCACAGGAGACGAATGTAAACGGCCAGGCAACTTCGTCTTTTTATTGTTAGCGAAATGTTGTTTTTTTCATAACTTTTCCTTGTAGATTTTGTTTTCTCATTTCGTAACTGCTTTAACAAAAGAACTGTGCCATCAATTTTGCTATCTTGCATTATTCATGTGAAAGTATACACACCAAATTCAATCCACAACGGGAAGAAATACAAAAGAATGTACTATATTACTATTCATATAAAAACAAGGAAGTATTCAAACTCGTGCTGCCCCGTTATATTTATGACCCAATAATATTTTTCAGCTGTGTGGTTATGAGAGTCCAATGCATCCTGCTGCCCCATCGCTTTAAGGAATCTTAGCATCTAATTGCTTATCCTGATTACCTCTATCGCTTGGTTTTGATCTGAGACCCAAGCAGCTGGTAACTGATCTGAAGAAAGGATCCAGCCTGTGACCTGGACTGCTAGTTGTAATGCAAGTTGGTGATTTACTGTGGAGGAAAAAGAAAATAAAATAGTACTTCTGCAAAAGAATGAGCATAGCCCTGATAGGTTCCAAAGATGCTTACTGACCGCTGGTTTGCTGCTGATGGTGTTGAGCTTAAGGGAGCTTGGGATGAAGTGTCCTGTGATCAGCGCCAGAAGCATTCCCACCCAAACTAAGGCCCTGCTCATCTCCTGCCCTCATTTACCTGTTACGTCTCCATTCCTACTGGTGAAGCAGTCAGCAGTAGCGGATGCAAAGTTTATCCCAGGAACCTCTCCATCTCATCTCGCTGTGTGCCTGGAAGTTAATTGAAGTCTGTGTTTTGCTGCTGTATAATTTGCATGCTGGTCTTAGTAACATCTACAGATCAGATTCTCGTTTTGAGAAAAACAGCACGGAGGCAAGGTAGGCAGCTCTGCTGCACCTGGAATTCCTGCCCTAGAGAGGCCACCTCAGTGCCAGAGCTGCTGTTAGGGTACAGTGGATGTGACATTAAGCTTTTCCAGTCACGACCAGCATGAAATGATCTGTTCAGGTAGTGTTATCTTCCATTCAACAGTAATTAGCATCGTCGATATTGCAGATGTACCATTTACTTACTTTCTAATTCAGTACTATGCTAGGGACAAATTACTTTCCAACAGTAAATGTCAATGGTTTCATAGCAACCAGAAGTACCTGAGAGCTTTCCTTTAGTATTAAATCCCATCATAACAGTGTCAAGCCTGGTGCCTTCTGCTCGCGTTGGTGCTGGAGACTGACTGCATCCAGGCAGCAGAGCAGGGCAGATTTCGTTCTGGTGGTGCATGCCAGAGCAGAATTTGAGAGGCTGCCTACTTGTTCTGTCAAAAGTTGGGTGGTTTTGGTTTAATTAATTTCAACAGTGCTTATATAAGATAGAAGGCTGTTTTAAGCGTTCGTTTGTTTTCTTGGTTTTTTTTTTGATCATCAGATCTTTTCTTTTGTGTAACAGTTTGATTTCATGCTCAGAAACTGTGAAATGAGGTCTTACTGAAAGAAAAACTGTCAATATTAAGTACTTTCTTTTATTAAGTACTTTTCAACTACTTTCCTATTGGAGCTCATTAGTAACGAGTACCACAGCATGATCCAATGCATACAATTTGAAATGCAAAAGAAAGCATCTAATTAACACTTACAGTTATTGGAGGTATTGCAATGAAATATGTTTGTTTGTTTGTTTTTGTTCCTGCCATACAAATCTTCATTTCTAAATTAGGTTTTGCGAGCTCCCCCATGGCCAGCCAGCACTTGAAGATGTTCAGTGATGCTGAGTGCAGGGGAAAGAGCACAATTTCTCTGTCCTTACAGTTCAGTCATGGCCTTCCAGTTGTTTAATCCAGGTTACTCAGGACTATGAGGTGTGTGTTTAATTCCCCAGGAACACGAGTGTATCCATGAGTGGTTTTCCCTGGGCAAGAACAGAAGTACATCTTAGCACTTGAGTAAACTCTGCATTTGTGCAAGCAAACATCAAGGGCACGGGAGAGGCTCTTTGTCTTGCTGCTTTTGAAATAGATATGTTATTCTCAGTACGTCATACAAATTAACCATTTAGTTCAGGTTCTATTGGCCAGATCTCTACAATTAAGCTTTTGTAGTGCTTGGACAATTTGGAGTCAATTTCATGAAGAAAGCAGGGAAAAAAAAAAAAGGGATTTGGTGATACATCCTACGTCTGCTTTTACTTTTTTTATCAAAGGAGAGATCTGGCTTCAATACACAAATCAGAACACAAAATAAGAGATTTGTCTTTGTTAGGCTTTGTGTGTGGACAGGAATAAGCTACAGCTGATGAGGGATTTGGTGAAATTAAATATGCCCACCGGGAAAAGCTGTTACTGGATTCATAAGAAAAGATTGATTTTGAAAAGCCTGGACTGTCATGTGAACGATCACTGGAGTCAGTATTTTTATGCAGCAAAAGCATAAAAGGCATAAAAAACAGTGAGTTGTTGTTTCTTCATGGGAACAAGTTTCCCAAGCGCTTTGAGATGAGGCAGTTGCCCTAAGGTTGGCATGGCGATGATCCTTTCTTTTGCTGTAGGAGTGAACAAACGAACAAATTAAATTTGCACATTTCCTGACATTGCCAGAGCTTTTGTTGCTTTTTAGCTTTCTCTTTTTAGTATGCTTTTCTTTCTGAACATGATTTTATTATCTTAAATGCAAGTGTGTATTTCATACCATATCTCTGCTATTGCTAGAAGTTTCATTTTCTTACCTTTAGTTAACAACTTTCACTTGTTACAAGCTTATAAAAGGTACTTCCTATCTACAGCCATGTAGGCCTAGCGTACTGGGATGTGTAGAAAATGATTTTTGCCCAGTAAAGTATCTCACTGCAGCAGACTGGCTGTGAGGAGATGTTGTTTGAACATTGGCTATGTTCTGAATGCAGACTTTTTTTTTTTTTTTTTTTTTAAACCGAGCCAGATTTGGGTCTTGGCAGATAGATGGTGGATGTGGTTCAGTTTGCTTCACCTAAACCGTTGTATTCTTTTTCCATGCTAAGAATAAAAACTAGCATTTAGGACTGTGGCAGCTGTGCTTAGCTATGATTGCAGTTATAGATCATAAAATAGACAAAGGATCTTTAAAACTTATGCTATGAATTGAACATTTTCATTTCATACATACTGCTATTTTTGATAAGCCCAAAATTAGAATCATGTTCTGCGACTGATAATCCATAAGCAATAAATGTAGATAGTTAAAATTTCTAGCAGAACTGAAACACAAAAGTTGCAGAACTAAAGCTGATTTTTGTAAGAATAATAAATCCACAGAAACACAGATTATTGCTCAGATAGAGAGAGGTACAGCAAACCAATAAGCATATGGATGATCAAAGACGAAGGTAGCCATGAGAAGTAAAAGAAAAATTATGTGAGTATAAATTCCTAAGAAGCAGAACAAGAGAGAGTAAGCGTGGAAATGAACTTGAATATTGGAACTTTGGCAGAAAAAACAATTCCCTCAGGCTGCTGTCCATCTGGTGCCCAGCCCGTGGCTTACAGACCAAGGTCATCTTAGCAAATATGTAAGCATATTCATAGTAACCTGCATTGTTTTTTGTGTTTACATGTTGTTTATTCAATTGGCTGTATTCCATTACAATTAAGCACTGATTTCATAAGCTTCTGAATCTGTTCTACTTCTATAATTTCCCAATCTTTCCTCGTAGTAGTTCTACATGTAATCACTTATGGTGACTATGAGGAGGAAAACCTCAACTGTTCATCTTTTTATCAGTATTTGTAGAAGATACATTGATAGTGCTGTCAGTTGCCTTCGAAGTCTGCATTGAAGGCTGATGGGGAACAGTACAGTTATGCAACTGCATATTCAACACTTGGGATATTAGAAAGATACCATTGCTGTAATAGCAAACAACAAAACCAGAGTTCTACCATTACTGTAGTAACTAAAATTGAGTTGTCCTTTTCCTCCTCCCTTTTCTAGATCTCTCTGAAATATGACTTCATGGAAATCATGTTTTCTGTGTAAGAAGTGGATGCTTTATTCAGGTGCTGTGGAAACAAAGTAGTATGTGAGTTGTGTATACAGCTCACCCTGCTATTTTCATATGCCTTCTGGCCTATGGTGCTCTAATTCTGACCTATTCTTTTCACTTTCTTCAGTACATTTCCACGCATTCAAAGCCTCAACTCTTTTTCTTCATGATTTTAATGACAAAAGTGGCTTAGATTTCATTATGGCTAACATTTCACTAAGACTCTGGGTAGAAATAGAGTTTAAAGCAGAATTATGATTTTGAAGTCTCTAAACATTACAGGTGGGTAGTAGAATATTGGGAATGTTTGTTATTTACGTGTCCATGCTATTTGTGCTCCAGACAAAAATGTATGTGCAAAACAGAGGTACAAGAAGGTTTTGGAGGGCAGATTATGATGCAAATGCACTACGGTTGGATGTTTCTGTTGAGATTGTTAAAAAGTAAGTTAAGTCTGTATAAGCACTTCTCTGTGAAGAAAATATGAAATAGTACAAGTGTCTGTGAAACAAAAACTGAGTGTAGATGAACTAATCCCTTTTCCTGGCCTTAACTGTATGAAAATATAAATTCCGTTACTGCAATCTTTTTATTTCCTATATCTAATTGTTTGGTTTTTTTTTTTTCAGAGCTCAGCACATTTTAGTCACTGCAACTTCCGTCACTACAAACCTTTAAGGATTCAGAACAATGTTCTTCAACGCTTGCTGAATTGTCACAACTGTAAGTCTCTAAGTCCATCTTAATGTTTAATTTCCTGATTAGCACTAGCAGCCTCTTCAAGGATGACAGAAAAACATCCAGTTTTGTTGATCTCTGCTACTTTTACAACAGCCAAAAACAGCAGAAGCGCCACTGATACAACCTAAATCTCTTGAGAGATGATCATGTAAAAATATATTACCTCACTGAGATTATTGATGAAAATAGTGATTGGTAAAAAAAAACTTTAATAAGAAAACCTTCCTACCATGCATTTGCAGCACAAAGATACAACCCACAGAGAAAAGATGTTACATTGTTTTTAGTGTAAATCTGCATGGGGTAGATGTCACCAGGCACCTCCTCTCCATATATGAGGAGCTTCCTTGGTTCCAAGGAGAGCAGGCAGGTGTTGATCTAGAGTTTTCTTGTTCTGAGTGACTCAGAAATGGCACTGGGCTTGTATCAGAGCAGTGGTGGGATGGTATTAAGCCATGCACTAACCAAGTCCAAAATGCCACACTGAGAAACTTAAGGGAATATTTTCTGAGGGGAGTGTCAGCTATTGTAACAATAAATCTCTGCTTTAATACAAAAATGTGTGCGCCTACTCTTCCCTAATCCCTGCTCTTTCTTGTAACGCCAAGCTGTGTTCAGTCTTCCTCAGCTCATCTCTCAGCTCACCGAATGCAGGTGATTTCACTCTTTATGCACTTAATGCTTTGATTTATTTTGTCTCATCTGGCATTTCTCTTATCACTATTTGTTATTGCCATTGAAGTCCTTTCTCCCAGAAGATATATCCATTCAGTTTCTTATTTTTAAAATGAAATTTAATTATATTAAGATTAGAGAAAAAACATGATGAGTGTCTTTAGACTGTTTACTACGATAACATTTAAAGATTTTAAGAAAATGCTTCCTAGGTTATTGTTTCTGTAAACAAATCAAGTGTACTTGCATAAAACTTTCCCAACTAAGCCATTCTGATGGGTGTTGAGAATTTGATGACTCTGAATCCGAACATGAGCAGATTGCTGAAAGCAGAATTTTCTGCAGAACAAACCAACCCATCAGTCCTGGGTGAGGTGACCCTTCAGGTCCAACCCAGCCCATTTGTTGGATTTGACCTGCCCACTGGTGGGATTCCAGAGATTCCGTACAAGAGTCACTACATCCTCAGATCCCAGCTGGCTTTTCCTAACGGGAATCTGCATGGGGAGGCTGATAGTTCACTTGAGAGTGCAGTTCATTTTTTCAAACTCTTCATAAATCTGAATGTTAGCTTGCGCACCTTATTTTAAATTGAACGTGTTGTCTCTTCTTTCTCCCTCATCCTTTATATAGATACTTCAAGTGTTAGAAATTGTCTCTGTTAGCATTTCTGTCATGCAGAACAAGTGTTCTGTCACTGTTGGCAGCTCTTTGTACTACAGGTCTCAAATCTGAATTGGATTTTGTATAGATTTCATGCTGCGACTTAAATTGTCTCCCCTGAAGAATGACCACCTGTAATACTGTTTTAGTGAGTACGTCCTCAAAGAATCCTGACTATAGGGCTCAGTAACGATGTTAAAAATCAAGAAGCAGAGTTTTGGTGAAAGAGCATTTTATATGATGTATTTTGTCACAGTAGTTTCAGCCATTTCCTCCCAAAGGAGGAAGGCTAGCAAAAATTTTTTGGAGTGCTGACCATTTCCAGTGTTGTACATTGCTAAATATCAGTTAACAGGTCTGAAACCTAACACTGTGTGTTTAGATAATTCTGCTTTTCAAATACTCTTTAAAATACACTTCATGTGTAAGAAAAATTTGGAAATCCAAACCGTATCACATATGGGATACCAGCTGTAATTCTTATCTGTGATATCTCTATGGGAGATGTAGGAGAAATGCAGGGGAGTTTTTCATTGAATCTGGTGTTGTCCAGGATTTACCCCACAGAGAACTATTGGTATCTCATTAAAAAGATGTATCCATTATTAGCTGTGTTTTCAGCAACTCTTGTTTGAGAAAGGGAGAAAAAAAGATGTAGTTCAAAAACCAGCAGCTCCTCCAGAGAAAGGAATCTGACAAAGTTGTTAAAAGATTCAGGCATTAGGAAATGTGATAGGAGAATTTTGTAAAACAGTTCTAAGAACAGATTTTATCATCTTTACCATGAGAACAGCTAGCATAGAGTTGCAATTATGTTCCTTGTTAAAGAGCGTTAAGTTAATTCATTTCCATGTTGTGACCTGTAATAGTTTAATTTACCCTATACTATTCTGCCTGTTAATACAGGCTGGACAGAAACACAATACCTTCCAGTTATGTTAAGTATCTGATTTGTGATGCAGTCTACCTCTGCAATGACTGTGCTGTTTAAATTAATACCAGATCATTATCTTTAGATGGCAGGCAGATGTTGAGGTTATGGTGTTTGTGAACCCTAAGCACATTTTTTTTCTGTGCAGATCAAGAGTAGTTGCTATATAAATTGAGGATCTAAGGTCTAGGCCTTCTGGCAGTCAATTGGTTTTGTAATTATCTTGGTAATAGTTCTCAATTATTATTCAGTAAAGGTCGTCTTTCCTCGGCTAATGGGTCATGGCACCCTCTAGGGATCCATAGATGGGCCAGTTCTCATTTTTCTCATGTAAATGACTTGCCATCTGTGTGCCAAACAGGTTCATCTAAGGCAGTTCTGAAAACACTGATAATTAATATCAAAGCATGAGGTTCTGACAAGATTGTAGAATTGTTTTAAATATTTTAAAAGACGGGCTTTGTTTTCTAAAATTATTTAGTCTGTTAAGTACTGTAGACAGATTAGCTGCAATTCTCTTTGCAACAATATGACTAAAAATCCAATCTAACCTTTTTTTTATTTTTTTATTTTATTTCTTTAAGTGCATGTAGTCTACCTGCTCATCTTTATCTTTTATCTTCAATTTAATTCAGAAATTTTCTTTGGAACACACATTAAATTGTTTTTCCTTTGAAATTAATTGCTGTCTTTACCATAGGCATTCAGACAGATTGCTGACATTGCAAACTTTCAATCTTTCAGAATGTTTAAATATTTCCAAGTTCTTTATTTTAGATGTTGTTTTTTTTCCCATACATACGGTTGAAACGTAAGGACACCAGCAAAACTTTTTTCTCAAAAGATGCATTGACTGTGTATCACAGACTATTTCTCTAGCAAAAAACAGACTTACCCTTTGACAGAAGGTGGTTGTGCTAAATTTTCCTCCCGTGGAGCTCACGTATGTCCTTCTGGTTAGCTTTTCCCATAATCCGATAAGTTCTGTTGAGGGTAATAAACTCACACAGGCTCTGAATCAACAGGCTTCGAAAGATATGCACTACCACTGCCCTACACTCGCTGTCAGTGCTGTCTGGTCATGTACTAGAGGAGGTGCATGGCTGTTATCCACAGATCTCAGTTAAATGTTCCACACCACAGTGACTGGTTCCCATGGAGCGATCCTGCCTTTCTCTGTCCCCATGTGGTCCATTCAGTGCCCTGGCTGATAGTGTTCTCCCTGGTGATGTTGCTGTGCCTCTCCTTCCTTTCATTGCACTTTCAGCAGGTGTTGGTAGCTACTAAACACTGATGCTCTTCTTTCTGCTCCACCTTAATGCTGACCTCCTGCCTTTTTTTCCACCCCACTGTATTCATTTCTGCTGCGCGAGTACCTGGTGAAGTTATTTTCCTAGCCAAAATTATTAGACTTGCACAAAACTTCTTTCTTCTTTTCGCTACATCATGTTTACATTGCAAGCTATGCTAACATTGAGTAAAATGGAAAAGTTAACAAAACTGATAAAGTCATCATCTGCTTCTACTCTATTGTAATAGCCGTGATGTAATTGGCGCCGTTTCATATAAAATTACCATATAAATTGTGCCGTCCAAATCTGCAACAGAAACAGCAACAGTACTTACAATAAATGGCAAATCCCCATTAATTATTGACAGCCCAATGAGCAAACCATTATCACTCATTCTTATTATTCATTATTAATAACTCTTATTTAGTATTCATTGCATAAGGATCAATTATGATTAACTGTTTTAAAAATGAATGGACCACGTGAACTTCTCACTTTCATTGAAGAAATGGCTTTCTGTATACAAACACTTTGTGGAATCAGCAGGACAAAGCATGACTATACCTAAGCATCCAGTCCAGTGTTCTTATCCCGGTGTCTGTAAGATGGTGATACAAACTCTGTCAGAGGCACTTGGGAATGTTTTTTTACTGGAAGCCATTACTTATCTCCTAAGTACTTGACTTATGAAGTAAAGTGTGCTATAAAGTAAAAACAGTGGGGTTTTCATCTGTTACCTGTGGATGTTCATGAAATGTTTTAGTCTGTATTTGAAATCCTTTGATCCTTTAGGATAAGGAATGTACTATAAGCATGCACAAGTGGTCTAGTTGGTCTGTGTTCTCTTTATACCAAATAAAGAATCTCGTTCAGGATATTTGAGGGATACTCCATGTCATCTTAAAATAGGTGCATTTTGGGCAGATTAATAGTACCCAAGAATCCCCCTGAAAACATTAGGCACATTTCTATTGACTGTAATGGGATTCCAGAAATCTTGTTCTGATAGAGACAGATGTATTTGGTAAACATCCTAAGTGAAATAAGATCAGTTTACTCTTCCTAGTAATTATGTTTTGCTCTACTGATCTGTTTTAAAAGACTCAGCCTAAAATTCTCCAAAGCATCATCGTAAATCCTAATGGTTCCAATTCTCAAGCGAGTTGGTGGAGGAGGCTGAATTCCAGGAGCTGAGATAGCAGCAAGTCCTTTTAAACCTCTGCTCAAGGCTAGCTAGTTGCCACTGAGCATAGCATTAGAGATTACTGGTTCTGCTGGATGAGTGGCATTGTGGTGATAGCACTTGTAGTAACATACTACTTGTTTCACTTTTTAAGCTTCTGATTGGACTTTTGCTTGATTTTTGTTTGCTTTTTTCAGGTTCTCCGTGCACTGGTAACTCCGCTGTTCTTCTCTTTTAGGTGCTGCAGCTACAGTATCCACTGTGTACTACACTGAAAGATACTGCCTGCACATGCACCTGGAACATGCTCAAAAGATGCCATGCAACTTGGAAGCCCAGAGGCTTTTATGGTGAGTTTTGTTGAACGAAGCACAGAAGTACAATCCCTGTGTACCAAGGTGAGCCTTTTCTCACAAGTCACCGTGTTTCTGAGGGGCAGTTTAAACATAGGCTCCCCCAGTTCACTGGCACACAGTGATTTCTGTGTATGCACGCTTTGACATTGGCACTCTGCTGTCTTTCCTGGATGCCCATTTTTGTACTTAAAATACCTGATGTGCTCTGTATTTTTCCATGAAGTGCCAGTTCTCACCAGCTGTGGTTTTCCAAATACAGAGATGCACTATAAAGCAGCCAACTGTCTTGTAAAAAGATACGAGTTTCCTGCCAAGGAGGATTTAGCATATGATTCAACTGCAAATATAACACAATTTCAAAGAAGGAAGACGGAAGAAATTCAAATTGTTTATGAATATGATATATAAAAATATTTTGATGTTTCAGAAGTTCCTTTTTCTTAAACAACATTGTATGCTGCTATATATATCATCATAATGAACATCAGATATTTTTTAGCAGATAGTAATTATTCATTTCGTTTGTGGGCATAAAGTAGCACACAAACCATTTAATTTGGGAAACTCTTTGTTTCCAGTGATGGTGTGTGTCACACTGTGATACACCTAGAATAATTCCAGAAAGACTTTTTTTAATGGTGAATCCTAGCAGCAGAACAAAGACAGGGCAGCAGGCTGGGTAGCACAGGCAGACCACATGATGGTGACAATGATGCTATAGTGCGGACTTGAGTGTGGGTTAACACCATGTGTGTTTGGTGCTTTGCACCTTTGCTGAGGCTGTGCAAGGCAGGTGTCAGGTATGCTTGGCTGCACAAGTCACACTTTCATATCAAGGCACCAACACATCTTAAATAGGAGTAGAGTTTGATCTCTCTGGACCTCATCAGTAGGCCTTTACACAGCACCATTAGACAATTCTCCCATTGCCTCAGAAGGCAATTAACTATTGATATTGCCTGGTTTACAGATAACGAATATACTTAGGCTGCATTTCAAGAAATGATCACTTTTAACCAGACTGGCATTTTGAGTGATCATGTGAACAAAACACACAACCCCAAATGAATTCAGTTTTGTCATGCAAAACTCTAAGTGAACAGCTCAAGAGCTTGCACTTTGTTAGGATTCATATCAGAAACAACTATTGGAGGAATAGTTACCTCTCTCATCCCAAGCACCTGAGGATTTTAAAGGAACAACTTTTAAGAGCCATCTGAGCATATCAAATTGTCCATCATTATTTGTCTGGTGTGTACATGTGTACACCTATCAGTTAGTATACACCCAGACCCTGCAGCTTCCATTTCTTCTTCCTGAACAGAATCGCCAGACATGAATAGCAATAATCATTTTTCCAAATGGTAAATTCATTTTTTAAATATTAGTGTTAAAAAGAACACAGCCAAGAAGTTGCTGACATTAAACACAATTTTATGGTAAAATCTAGATAAAAAAATATTCTTCTTTAAAACAAGCAAGCAGGGCAAGGATGAAGGAGTGTGGTCACAGAAAAATCACCCTTACCACATGCTGTAAGTATTACTTAGGCAGCAGCATGCCTACTTCTCAGAAGCTAGATAATGGACAAAATGAAGTGAGGAATACCATGGATTTCACTTTGCTATAAATGCAAAATAATTGATATACTTAGTCTCTTTTTTTCTTTTCTTTCCTTCTTTTTTTTTGTTTTGTTTTTAAGTAAAGACGTGTGCATATTTTGATCACTTGGCTGAAACCTCAAAACATAGAAGTACAGCAGTAATGAGACACAAAAGCTACAGCAAATGCCTGCTGGAAAGGCTCTTTGTTGCTGGGGCAACTGCAAGAGCTTTCACTAACATTTGCAGTACTTCCCACCTACTGTAGGAAATGGTGGCTGTTTTACATAAACGTATATTTAAGGCTTAAAAAATGCCAACTTTGAAGTTAATCCAACTGATATTGTTTATAGAGGAACTACTGTGTCAGGAAAGTAGCTGCCTGTTCATCAGATTGCTGTGCCAAATCTGTTAAATTCAGCAAGGCAAGACTTAAACTTTTATTCTGGTCAAGGCTAATGAAACTGAGGTGCAATGCATTCCTTTTCCATCTTCCACATATTTTTCTGTGTATGGTATAATTATGAGTCCTCCAGCCACTCCGCCCCAAACCTGTAGCATCGCCTGGGGTTGTTGCAGCCGAAGTGCAGGACCCAGCATTTGGTCTTGCTGAACCTCATACCATTGGCTTCAGCCCAGCTCTCCAGCCTGTCCACATCCCTCATAAGGCCACATAAGGTGCCCGTAGGCAAATGCCAGAATGTCTGATTTTTAGGTGTTAAGTAAGGAGTATGATGTATTCTTTTTGATAAATGAAGACAGGTAGATAAATCAGTGTTAAAAAAATCCTAGTTAAGCCAATATATAATTAATTGACAATTTAATGGCTAACAATTCAATAAATATTTGTTTGTCAAATCAAACAGTGAATTACTCTTCACAGTGTAGTAAACATGGCTAGATTTTTCCTGAAATTCACTTTTCTATTTAACTAACACCTGGGCACCTTCCTCCCTTCCCTCCAAAAGGGAGGAGGTGAAAAAAGAAGGAAAGCAAGACAGGAGGAGGAGGAGGAGGAAGAAGGAAGAGAAGCATTCTTTTATTGATGCTCTGGAGTTTGGAGAGGACATTTGGAAACATTTTCTTGGAGTTCATCACATTGTCCTCATGCATAAGAGATTTTCTCTGCCAGGCACAAACCACTGTCCTTTAGAGTCCAACTAGTAAGTTGTACCAATCTGGATGTAACCTAACCTCCAGAAATAAATCAGTCTGGGTTTATCACAAACATCTCAACTTTAACCCTGCTGAAGTACTAAGTACATAAAGAGAGACTTCAGAACTCTATTATCAAGTATTGCAATGTAAATCAGTCCTTTCAGTAAGGATAGGATCCAAAAACAAGAGCAGCATCTCAGTCACCTTGATGAGATGCTTTGAAGACATCCCTAGTCCATTTGCAATACCACGAAGTACCAAAACAGAAAAGCAGAAGTATACATAATTGATTTTTATCCTATTTGGAGCAGCCTTTCTCAGTATTTTTAATGAAACATTATATGACTGCAATGTGAAGCATAACCAACATGGCATAGTTTCATACTTTCTTAATTGGGTGCTAATATCCATGTCAGTATTTGCATGAAAAATGGCATACTAAGCCAAAATACCAGGTTTTTAAAGCTCATAGTCATTCTTCTGCTGATACCATCTGTCAGCTTAATCTTTACCTCCCAGAATTCAAGGAAGAGGGTGCCTTCAGGGAAGGGAAAATTTGCCCTCTCTCTCAAGTATTTCTCTTAGGAAATGAAACAGAGAGGAGCAGAGAGTGGCAACTCCATCTTTTTCATGCATTCTCAATGTCCTCTCACGTTCATAAGCCCTAAAGCTACTGCTTCTTGGCTTTTTCTGTTGTTTAAATGGTGATTTGAAACTTCTGCTGACAACATGCTGCTCTTAGTTCTATGTGTCATTGACATATTTCTCTAGAAGACCTTCTAGCCTGGACTTTAACTCACGACCTGGCAAGTGATTTAGCACTTATTTATTGAAACGTGCATGAGCCTTAAAACCATCCGACAGCTCCAGCGCAAACATCTGTCTACTCAAAAGCTAACACCCTGTCAGAATGCCCCGGAGCAGTATCTCTTCCTTTGGTTTGAAGTTGAAGCAGTTACAGCTACAGTAGTTAGACAGCAAGTATTTTTTGAAAGATAACAGCTGGGTTGTCAGACATTAATGCTGTACTACACAATGTTTGTATGTTACAGCAGAAATGTAATAAGTAGTTATTCTTACATTATCATACATAGGGCTGCCAAATCACTGTCTGAGAGATAACATGAAGGAATTGTGATCTGTACCACTTCTGATGATGTTAGGGGGTTTCCATCAAGTGTAACTGAAGTCTGTTTTCACTCTTTATAAGAGGTATTGTCAGCTTCAACATTGTCATAGATACAAAAAAAGATATCAACAAGTAAGATGTCCAAGGCAGAATTATCCCCATCGTGAGTGTGTAACCAACAAATAAACGGAGTGGTGTGGTTAGGCTAATATCTACAAATCGTACAGCTAGAAAGATTATCACATTGTAAAGGGATAATCAAAAATAAATGAAAATACTCACCTGTGTCCTGGACTCACAGAAAAAACTTGGAGAGGAGCAATCTGCAGAAAGAGATCCTTCCTCAGTGGCAGTCAGCCCTTAAATGTGTTCTAGGAGAGGTGGAGACAGGCTCCACCCCTTCCAGTCAAACAGCTGAATTGCCTTCACCTGTGTTCCTGCAGCTGACTCAGTGCTTGCCTCAGGTGGTCAATCAGAGGTTCAGGCCATGATTCCACAGTTCCCACACATTGAGAAAAGCACACAAGTTAGTTACTGTAACTGCTGGTGATGGGAACTTAACTTCCTCATCAGTAGATTACGCATACAGAGTAAAATCATATTAGCTTAATCTTCAGTGTTGGAAGTCTCCTGCAAATTTAATTGCATTTCACATACGTCATTTTAACACTGCACTATGAAAAAAAAAAAATCACTGCATTTCAAAGTAGCTAAGGGATCCCTGGTTACTGCTTACTTAGATCTGTATTTGTTTTGAGACACAAAAGAACACAAGTCAGGGAGAAGGATGAGTAAATACACTGAATAACTTCCTTGAGAAAAAAATAGACCCATGTCTTGGAAAAGAGATGCCTGAAGTTGCAACGGCAGAGGTATGTGCAATCATAAATGAAGGTTTTAATAGAGAAAAATTGTTCATTATTTCTTACGCTAAGAGAAATAAGGAACAAAAACGGACTGACAGATTCAAAACTATCAGGAGATCATTCTCCAACATCCAACTTAACAGTAGGCGTAAGTGAACTCATTAGTTAGACAGCTAGTCAAATTCACGGCTATAAGTCAGAAATGCTTTTGACGTAAAAAGGCCAGCAGCTGAACTGATA